CCCTGGTTCTTCCCCCGGAGGTTTTACCTTCAGAGTGAATGAAGGAGGCTGTAGGCTTTGGAGGGCATCAGTGCTGTTTTCATCCTCACAGAGGCTCTGTGCTCTGCCTCCTGGGGATGGGCCAAACTCCTCCAAGGAGGAGTTTCTAGATCCATCCCCAGATGGGAATAGACCCCCTTTTGGAAGCAGCCTAAGTTCCTGAGGGGGGTTACCAATGTCTTAACCCCCAAATTTTTTGAAAAATTGGAGAGTAGGCCTCAGAGATATCCCAGGGACACTTTAATAGGAAATCAAGTTATAAAAAGGCATAATAAAGCAACAAAAGTCATAACTGGCTGAGACAGGAAGATCGTGAGTTTAAAGCCAGCTTCAGCAAAAGCAAGGTGCTGAGCAACTCAGTGAGACCCTGTTTCTAAATAAAATACAAAGTAGGGCTGGGGATGTGGTTCAGTGGTAGAATACCCCTGAGATCAATCTCCAGTACCAAAATAAACAATAACAACAACAATAATAATACATTAATCCTTTTTCCTTCAGAAGAAATGACTTGAATTTGCTTTTCTAGACACTTATTACGTAGGGATGAGCCTGAGAATTTTTCAGTGTCCTCTCTGTGGATAACACCATGTTGAGCTTTGAAGAGAAAACAAAGCGGTGACAATGGCACAGGAGTGAAGGGATAGATGGAGAGACCCGTGTTCATTCTGTAAATGGAGCCATGTGAATAAAATGCACCACAAATGGGGACGAGCAGTCAGGGTCGAAGGACTGCCCAGACCAGTAGCAACCAGTCTGGGGAGGAGAGTGTGGACTCTGTAGTCTGTGAGCCTGGTGTGAGTCTCAGCCCTGCTGCTACTAGACTATTCAACATCAGGGAAGCTCCCAGACGTGCATAAAAGACTTGAAGCAGGTTGAAATTAAACCTTGCAGTGCAGTATCTGCCACAGTGTAGGACTTAGAAGCTAGCTCCATCCCTAGGGATGCTATCTGAGACTCATATGAGACCATTGTCCACGTCCCATCCACATTGTGGTGACCTTCTGAACTTGTCAGTGGACCACCCATTGCTAGCCATTATTTTTCTGAGATAATTTGCCAGAGATGTGAGAGAAAAAAGGAAGCAGGAGAATCCATTCTCAGTTGATCTGGATAAAGTTCCTATCCCCTCCCGGCTCCCCAGCAGGTAAACTCCATAGAGATACCATGTATTTAAATGCAATTAACATTTCTGTACAAAGTGGGTCTGGGTTCCTGGGAAGAAAGTGAGCCTCTTAAGTTCTGCCTGGTCTAATTCTAGCAGTTCCCTGGTCACCCACCCCCGGGCTTTGTGATTGGTTGACTGTGGTGTGTGTGTGTGTGGGGGGTGTAAACTGCTGATGGAGCCACAGCATCCCTTAGTCTCAGGTTCCCAGGAGGGGGAAGGGACAGGAACAAGGGAAGAGGAGCCATTTCTCTGCACGGATCGCAACCTTGGCGCTCACAGCTCACATTTCACAAAACCTAGAGGCCTTTTTGGCCTAGGACTGCACAATGCTGGATATTTTCATCCTGATGTTCTTTGCCATCATAGGCTTGGTCATTCTGTCCTACATTATCTATCTGCTCTAGTGGCTGGATTTGCTGCCGGGAGCCTGCGAGAGAACAGCTCAGAGGGGAAGAATGGAGCTGAAGGGCCGAGCATCCTGCTTGCTGACGCACCGGTGGATTTTTGCTTCTGGTCATTATTTTGGGTATTGATTCAAAAATGAAATGAAAAGAGAGCTTGTTTTCCTATTTATTTCTCAGATGCACGGATGCAGCATTTCTTGGACTGCTCTGAAAAGAATAAGAAACACAAGCTTCTTTCTTTAGAGCCTAATTTAAAATGTGTTTTTTGAAATTAAAAATAAACCCAGAATGCACAGGATTTTAAAATAGGATGGGCTGGAGTGACGTGAATGGCAGGGAGGAACTATCCTTTCCTAATTTCCTCTTCAAGTTAGGTGTGCAGCCAAGTTGTACGTTTTCTCCAGGCAATTAAAGGTAAAACGATTCTATGTGCCAGCAGAGTAGTTTACAACCATACTGGCATAATTGTATTAATTAATTCATTGATGACTCGTTCTTATTTGATGATAAGGTAACAAATGGATTTACTTGGGGTGGGGTTTGTGTGTGGGGGGAGATGTCCATTTTTCCCAGCTGTGGAATCTGGCAGGGAGGAGGGAGGAACTCCAAATCCTTTTCCTGGTCTGACCAGTGGTTGAGACCTTTGCTGCTGTTCCCATCTGAGCCTTTTTGTTTCTGGTTTCCCACAGCTCCTGTCTCCAGTCCAACAAGAGGCCTCTTATCAACAACAGCAGCCCTGCTGCCCAGCAGACTTCTTCCAGAGCCTTCCGGACATGGTTAACCCCTGGCAAACAAGGGGCTTTGTGAGGCAAAGGCAGAGGCAGAGGCACTCACTGGGACATCAGGAATTCATGGGCATGGCTGGCAGATGCTGTATGCGTTTGAGCTGTAGAGAGAGCGTGGTGAGAATACAGAAAGTTGAAATGTAGACTCATTAAAGTGGAAAACTGCTCAAAAATCCATCTGGGTAGCCTTTCCTTAGGTCTAAATGCTACTGCACAGGAAGCTGAAATACCTTCTTTCCTTTCACCATAAACAGGCGTTCCCTTTTAAGTTCAAGAGCAAGTTCAAGTTGCCTGTCTTATCAGTGTTTTTACAGATTTCACAATCTGGGGTTGTGTGGTTTCCCTTGTCTCACTCTCTGGCCAGAAGAAATTTGTCATTTGAGTTTTTAAGATTTATTATTTCTTCCCTATCTCATGCCATCTGAGCCCCTAGCTTTTTAATTAAAAATTGAAATGGATACAAAGTTTTTATTCTTTATTCCTGTTTATAAATTATTGAAACAAAATGGCTGTACTTATCTTATTTAGGAAAAGTCTCTTACCCCAAAGTGAGTGGTTTTGTTTTTGATTGTTGAATGTTTCCTTTTTGGGGGAAAAAAAAAAAAAAAGAAACTGTCAACATATTTCCCTGTTCAATTAGGATTGAATAAGCTCATTTACTCATTTTGGCATTAAGATAGAATTGGTTCCCCAATCTGTAGTGTCTATTCTTTGAAAAGTCCAACATAATTGTTCTACATTTGATTTTCCTTTCTATCTTAAAAATAAAGGAGAAATATTAATAGTTTTTGTAATAATATTGTGTTCAATTGCTATGTTTTTAAGAGAAATAAAATTGAAACACTGTATGTTACAATTAAAATGGAAAACTTGCATTTTAAATCCTGGACAAAGTTGCGTGTGACTCCAGTAATCTCAGCTGTT